TTGCATGTGATGGGATAAAGTGGTTCTTTAACCCTCCTTCCTCAAGTCATAGGCGGGCGTATGGGAGAGAATGATCCGCTCCGTGCGCAGGTTACTGTTTGTGTTGACGAATGAGCAGATAATGCATGAGGAAACGTTGTCAACTTGTTTTGTAGAAATGGAAAGAATATTGAATAGCCGACCGCTAGTGCCGTGCTTATCGGATGATAAGAAAAGAAGAGTACTGTCTCCGAACAGTTGATTGTTGTTGACGGAGAAAGATCAAAATCTAGGTATCACAATGACGGAGAGTTACACTAGACGGTAAAGACAAGTCAATCATTTTGCTAATAACTTCTGGCGTTGATGGCTGAGGGAGTATATACCAACCCTGCAAGTACGACAAAAGTGGCTTTCGAAGAATTTCAAATCAGGCGACATCGTATTGATAGCATCTGAAACCACAACACGTGGCAAATGGCCCATGGGCATAACCGTTGCTGTAGAGACAGACAGAGATGGAATCGTGCGAACAGCTGTGGTGCATACAGGTGGCGGCAAGATAAGAGAAGATGTACGTTGTCTGTGTCTATTAGAATGGGCCGACTAGCACCCAGGTGATAAGCTAGGGGGTGTACAAGCGTACTGCTCCAAGTCCTGCGAACTCCATTGTTTCCGGAGCGTAAGTAAGAAGGGGGAGCCAGAACAAGAGAATATCGGAGGTGACATTGACCGCTCGGAAGAATTTTGATGGCCGGTGTAACAGTCAATAAGACTGAAAATTCCTTTCAATTCCCTTGCGTTTTCTTATCTTTTTTCGCCATTCTCATCACATCACTCATTTTCTTATTTATTTTTTATTACCGCAGGTATTTTCTGTGAATATTTGTAACATTTGGGCTGGATAGTGAATCAGGCTCACTATCAGAGGTATGACTGCCTTATGTATTTGTGATTAATGCAAAAATAGTACCGTAGATTATTTTTGGATCGACTTGGTTCTCGATAATTTGGGCTATGCGTTGCTCTGAGATTTGTTTATCGCTATCCAGAACGAGCGAAGGATCATTTGATTGAACGCATACACACGAGATCTTTTTTATTTCGCTCAGACCGGGAAAATTGCGTTGGAACGTCTGCGCAGCGTTGCGTAGTCCGAACGGCATTCGAAGGAGTTGGAAAAGGCCGAACGGAGTGATAACACCGGTCTTAGGGACGTCCGCTGGGTCGACAGGTATTTGGTTATAAGCCCTGACTAAATCAATCTTACGAAAGATTTACCTACCCTTAAGGCTAGATGTTAAATCGTGGATGTGGGGTATCGGATAGCGATCCGGGGTGGTGGAACTATTTAGTCCACGATAACCCCCACATGGGCGCCATTCTCCGGCAGTCTTCTTAGGTACCACATGGAGTGGCGAGGCTCACTGGCTTTGCGAGGGGCGTATGATACCCGCCTTAAGCACAGTATCGAACTCGCGTTTGGCTAAAGCCAACTTATCCTGAGCTAAACGACGTGCGCGGCAATGTACGGGTGGGTCGCGTGTGACGATTGTATGGGTGACCGGTGTGGTAACCGGTGGCAAAATTGTAGAAACTGGTTGAGAACAAGCTTTCAACAAACGTTGCAACCCAAAATGTAGGCCGTTGCTTAAGACGGGGCCAGTCTACTCTAAGGTTCCTGGTACCAAATGTACGCATTGTGGAACCGTTGGCCGCAGTCAAAGTGAGTGCTTTAGCTGGGAGCCTAGCTTCAGTGGCGGAAGGAGAAATGACGCTCACTTTTGCACTGGTGTCGACTAAGAAATACACACCATTAATGAAGTCCCTAACGTGAAAAAGGCTGCTCCTAGTTTGTGTACCAGCGGTTGATGCCGTAATCAGTTGTTGACCTAGTCTTTTCCCGAAACGGGTTCACCTTTCCACACTCAGGGGTGGATGCATTTGGCGGCATCCTTACCAAAGCGTGCTTGATACCTGTAACTC